CGTAATTGAATGGTTAATCACTTATTTATATGTTTAATTTTATGTTTTTATATGTTTGTTATATGTTTGACACATCATATCTCAAGCTTATACATGCCGCTGATATAGCCATGGTTTTGCTTGTGATACAATTTCAGTCTTGGCAGCGCATGATAGGTGGTGGATGATGCATTGTTAGTTGTGAATTGCTTAAGTTTTTGTTAAGTTTTTAGTTTAGCAAAATCTGTTAGTGTGCCATTATTTTTTAACTCAATATTTGTTCAACTATTGAAAATGGTTTCTGTTTTATATTGTGTAGTGCCAATACCTACCTATAAATTGGTCAACTGCTCACTGTTCAGACTCACTGCTCACCCATATCAGTTTCCTACGTATTTCTCTGAACGGCTGACTAGAGTGCAACACACTTCAGGAGCAGTTGACTGGCATCATGTCATTTCAGCTAATTTTTATAACCTGCTTGCCAATGCCCTGATTTCATAAATAGTTGAATGATATTGAATAAAAAAAACACATTTAAATAAATCATGTTCTCAGCCTGAAAAACTGAACCATTTGACAGTAAAAAGAAAGCCTAATGGCAGCCAGTGCCATTGTCAACCACAAATGACAAAAGAGTGCCGACCCTGGTCCCTGACATCAGCTTCCTTCTTTTCTCAAAGCCAAAAGGTCCAGAGTAGTACGAAGAAGTTTGTGAGTTTCCCTCTATTGAATGATATATAACAATCACCTTTTTAGAACGAGTGCTAGCCAAACTGTGTGTAGATAGCAGATAGATTTAAGTAAGATAAAGCCATTTTAAACTATGTAAGCCTAGCAGATAAGGTGTTAAGCTTTTGGGTACTTTTGTTTGGGAGTATCTTGTCAAGGTATTATTTATTTTATTTTTTGCCAACATCATCGCAATGTAAAATACTTTTTGTGATGTTGTGGGGAAACAGTTTGCCTTGGAATGCCCTCACTCTCCATTTCATTACGGTATGCTCAGGTATCTAATTTCCCTCTCTCACTCTTCGTTTCAGATCAAAGAGATGGGTTCAGTTTCCACGGTGTGCTGACTTGAATTGGCATCCTGTGATTTGTGATGTGAATTATGATGCACGCACTCGCAGGTGCACGCCCACTGCGGACACGTGTGACGTGACGGCAGCAGGCAGCCGGGGTGTGAACTGTGAACTGGCTCGGCCGAAAATGTTTAAGGTATCACAGCGTTTGTAACTGACTAACATACCCACTACGGGCATACCCATTGAGCGGATAATGCGTTCGTGTGCATCGTGTTTGCATTTATTCCCGATATACTCTGGTGGTAGGTGTGAATTGGAAACCAACTTGGTGCTACGACACCGTTTAGTAGGCATGTGGCACGTCGTTTCTCGAAACCTACCTATCAGTCTATGCAATAATATGCATTGTATACATTGTGTGTCATCGTTCACCTTAGTTGTCATTGAACCTGTGTTAAATTCTGAACTTCAGGCCGAGACAGACTATTTCCACAGTCAGGAAATCGCACACGAGAACCTATTCAAATCCATTAAGTTGCAATAGCATCAATCGCACGCAAGGAGGTGCGTGTTATGGATGCGAGTGCGACCGGGGTTTATTTGAATAGGCTCTCGGTCTCGCACATGATTTCTGACTGCGGAAAGAATCGGTTTCAGCCTGTACTCAGTAGGCAATTCGCTCGTGCGACGGCAAATATAAGTTCAATATGGAAACAGTTTTTTAACGAAACGGTGTATGGTAAGCTTATAATCCTGGAATGCTTCTTGATAGAAATTGTCAGTGGTGCAGATATTCGTTAATCGATATGACAGCATTTGTCTTGATCTTTATAAGTCAGTCAAAATGGCTGTAGCAATGATTTGGATGTTTCACGGCGGACGGCACATTTCCTCTGCGGTCTACCGACGACTGAGTTGGAATGCTCAAGCTGATCAGGGGCAACCCGAGTGATAGACAAAGTCGTTTGATCGAAGGTATTTTCAGGCAGCTGGCAGAAGGCGCCTGGCCTGGCCATGAGAGCTAACAATACGACGTGCTGAGGTAAAATCGGCCAGTCGCGCTCGGTAAACGACCCACCACACCATTCTTTCCAAAACGATACATAGTCTATGGAACCGCCCTGGACCGCTCTTCCGGAACCCGACACTGTTGGCCTATGCCAAACTTAGCCGCGGCTGGTTCAGGCCATGTAACTTGCCGGTCATTTTCGGACTTTGCTGGTATCGGCCGCTGTCTGACTGGGCGGCGGCGGCGGGCTGTCCTTAGCAGGGATCAGTCTGCTCGATAGGTGGCAGCACTTTCGGGCGGTCGCGCAATACAATGGGAATTCCGCGGAGTTGCCGATCCAGGTAGTAGGTAATCCATGCTATAACCCTACCTCATGCCGCATGCGTTGCCGTGAAAATAACGCAAGCTTTTTATGTTATACGATTTGTAAGTTGAATTTTCTCTTGCAAGTACGACTATCATATTTCACAATGTCGCGGGAATAAAAATGCCCCTAATGCCCCATTCCTATTGGATCCACTAGTGACCAACATAAATATATTCTCCTTCAAATACATCGCATGCATTCTTCCAGGCCCGGTCTAGAATATATATTCCCGACCGGGGCTGGGAAAATGCGTTTTATTCACCGAGGTTTTTGTGCGGAGAACCGAGTGCCGGTAGGCACGAGGTCCGTAGCAAAAAACCGAGGTGAATAAAACGCATTTTCACAGCCCAAGGTTGGGAAGAGATTTACCACATGCCGTACCGGCGCAACAGTTTAACCCTATTAGTGGCAGGGGGGGGGGGTTGTTTTTATCCACCCCTCAGGTTTTTCGGGAATATCTCCGAAACCGCTGAAGCTACGATGCTGACATTTTCTGACTTTTCCTAAAACTAAATTGGGCACATTCCCTGAAAATTTCAAGTTCATCCCTATTAACATTTTTTTAGAAATGTAGATCTCGTTGAGCCAAATCGAATGCCGTTTGAATTTTGAAAATCGGCCCGTTAGATCTCGAGATATCAAGGGGGGGTCGTAAACAGCCCCCCCCCCCCTGCCACTAATATGGGGTAGCCAGGAGCCTGCCACTAATAGGGTTAATATCATATTCATTTGATATTTTACACTTTAATCTTAATATTGTGTTAATATTAAATTAATACTATGTCCATATTTATAGTCACCGTGATGTGATTATTTGTTTGTGTTTTTCATTATTAGGTTGCGTTGAGTATGAAAGATGAAATTCCTACTTCCCTTATTTAGGGTTTGAAAAAGCTGAGGATGAAGATGGTGAAACGCCAGAAGTTAGAATAAAGATATGGAGCCAGCAGGAGTGAGGAAACCGTGAGGAAAACTAAAAATTGGGTGAAACGCTGAATCAAACGCGTCTTGGAACCCAGCTGGAACAATATCAAATGTTTCATTGTGGCACGTTAAGATGCTTCACGCATTTAAATTGTTTGTGTTTTGCGTGCATTATGTAGAAATAATGATTATTCCGACCATGTTCTGCAGCAATAAATACATTGGCATTGGAACGATAACGTTTAGTTGAATTACGTTGACAGCAAAAGCATGTAAACGCACAGTCACTTACTTTTGCTGTTGCTGTTAGTGAACACACAATCCGTAAATATATTCTTTGAAATTGGTTCTTCCGCTCAGAATATCCAGTAAAACTTTGTCTGGGAAAATCAAAAAGCCCTAGGGCCGAATCGTTTCCCAAATACCTTCAACATTAGACGAGGCGGGCCGAAGCCATTTCCCAAATGCACGTGCTAATGTTAAAGGGATATCTCGGCATGTGGTAAAAAAGGAAATGGTACATGTGTATGGCAGTCATCTAATGTTCCTGTGCCTGTGGTCCTCCCCTATGGGAAATAACTACACCACCGCTGATGGCATAGAGAAAACGATGTGGCCAAATACCGGAAAAGATACAGGCGTAATGGAAATAGACGTCTGTTGTTTATGATGATAGTCGGGGCAATCCAGAAACGAATTTTCTGTGTGATAGGCGGCTTACTTGTGTCTGTCCCCTACGAGACTGATAGTTTTTGCGTACATGCGACTTGTGAAACGCGAGATTTGTGTTTCGGTAGGCAACACCGTTTATAAATGAATAAAAAATCAGAGAGGATTCGCTACGATTCACCTTCTTCAAACCAAAATTGTTGTCCGTAGACAGTAGTTGTATTATTTTGCAAAATGCAAAGTTTTTGTAACAGCGGACGCTAGGTAGGATACTGAACAACAAAGATCGCTTGGCATCAGCGTATTATACATTGCGCACATGCATCGTCATTTGTTTGCCATACAGTGGTTTGTGCAGTGAAGATGTTTCTCACCTTTCTTCCTAGCGATAATATTTCGTCAGCAAGAAGTGTCACGCCTGTCTCAAAACAGCACTCATCATTGCGATCGCCGATCAACATTGCATCGCCCCCTTGCCTTCCTCCCTTCCCCGTGCCCGTTTCCATTGAACGTAAAACGAAATACTAACAATAATATTATAGCAATACAGATCGCTACCTAATGGTTCCTTCCGAGAAATTCAATCCATTGATCTGCATCTCCAAGCCCTGGCAATACAGTTTATTGACTCACACTGTACCCAAGTATATACACGCTACACACTACGTACACAGTCATACAGCTCTCATCAGTCATTAGGTCCAAACTCGCCGTACTTCCTTCACTTTCATCGGATGATGACGTTGCCGCTCAGCTGGTAATTGAAGTCCCCTCTCCGCTGGATGCCAACTCCTAATGAATTCTCTCTTTCAGCTTGATGATGATGATGATCCCTCTCAGTTGTATTGTGTCTTGTAGGTAGCTATGTAGTTTCCTTTTCACTTGGAGTGTGCAGTTTCTTCCTAGATTGGATGATAATATTCCCCATGTCACTGAATGATGACGTTTCCCTTTGAGACTTCTGTAGTCTGTACCATGTAGACGATGTAGCTTCCTTTTCAGTATGATGAGCAGTTTCTCTCTCTCAGTTGGACTGTACCGTGTAGACGGTGCGGTTGCCCTTCTCCCTCAGCGGCCTCCAGTTGTTGCCCATCAGCACCCTTCTGTCTCGGTCCCTGTACACCCCCGTTATCAACCGATCCAAGAAGACGGCGTTCACAGACGTCTCAATGGCCGTCACGAACCAAATCACGACTGGGTTACACGGCGGAGTCGTGAGACTTCCCGAGTACATGTAGACGCGTCTAAGCGCCACGCTGAGCATCTCCCTCATGTTGGTGAGGTTGACGTCGTAGGTGAAGTAGTCTCCTCTAGCGGAGACCGCCTCGATGCGACGCTCGAGGCCTAGGGTGGGGAATGGCAGCTGTCTCCGCTGGTACCTTCCCTCGCGGTTTAGGGGTATGGCGATGACCACACACCCTCCCGGCACACGCGCGGCCAGATCGTTGCTCTCGAAACTGTTGTCGAAGAAGACGAAGTGAACTTCAGCGTCGAAGAAGCGATCTCCGATGGCATGAACGGAGCCCGGGTTTCCAGAGACGTTCCCGAAGTGGAAGTGTACCTCGCCAAGGTCGAAGGTACCAAACAGCGGCTCTTGTTGCGACACCAGCTGGATAGGAGCCTGACGAGGTGTCTCCCGACTCCTCGGGTCGTACGTCATGTTCATGACGATGGTCCTGCCGGTGTTCCTCACCTCGACCTCCCACTCGACGGCTGCTGCTGTGGCCACTACCCTCGGAGGAGCCGCTGTGGACGCCTCGTCCTTTCTGAGCGCGATCGGAGACTGAAGAGGTCCGCTGCAGAGGGGGTACCGGTGACCCCACGCCTCTGTATCCGTATAATCCCATGTATCCACTGGTGCGTCATTGGACTGAGTTCTGAGGAGAGATAGCACTATCCACCACGGTAGCATGGCTGTGAATAGGTCGACCAGCGACCGAAGGGCTCACAAAGATCGCCCAGTTCACCCGACAGACGGAGTGCGTGCCCGCGCACTACTGTCTCTGTCAGCTCTGCTGAGTGTTTCACCAATGTGGCGTGTTGACCACGGATCCTCTGTTATATACTCCTGACGTAGATGCTGCAAACTGGACAAAAATTAACGCAAAAGTATGCCACCGCGCCGCGTCAGTAGCTGCAGAGTGATTTTCCCATCAGGCGACCGGGGAAAAGCGAAGCGCCGTGGATGAGTGTAGTCAGGTTTGCTGACTTACTACAGGTGCAGTTCTTGGACGAAATTTCCTTCAGATGCCTTGAAGACAATGCGTTCACGGTTCAGCTATTCCAACAACGAACGGTATTTCTGGGTTTTTATTTTGGTGTGGAAATATCGAGCCCGACCGTTGCAGTGAGTGGGTTGCGTTTTCGCGTTTGTTTCACTCATGCGAGCCTGGAATGTGTTTAGCGTGTAGACGTATTGCTAAGTATTAACAGGTCATTTTAGCGGTCAAAGCTGTTTTATACCGCCGTTAACCAAATGGTCGTATTGATTCCAAATAAATGAAAAATTGCTCGGTTCTGTTCCCATAGTGAGTTAATTTCTTCTATGATTGCTCAGCCTGTATTCAACTTTGCTTAACCTTGTCAAGTTTAGTCTCGCTAACATGCTTGGGCACAACTAAGAAGCCTTAGTGTCAAAGTTTATTTCTCAGGTTTTTTTTTTCGCTTTATGCAACCATGCTCATCAATAGCGTTTAGCTTATAAGTTTGCCTCACTAGCCAACTTATACCGAACAACATCAACAATTCTTGGTGGCAAAGAAGATAGTGCTTCCTCTTGTAACCAGAATGGATTATCGTTGTTTGTCATTAACAAGCCTTAACCGCTGAGTACATAAAAATAAGCTGAAAAGCCGCCTTGAACAATGCTGTTGTCAATGTGACTTTAGATATATGATGGAGACTGCCCAAGGCGAATGCCTGTCTGGAAGAGTACAATGGAACGCTAATGATGGAGCTAGCGAAGAAAAAAATGATCCCTTGTTTTTAAAATAATTTATTTCGTATCAAAGATGAAACTATCGCTAAGTATATTTTGTGCTATATTTCATAGCACATATAAAAGCATAGCTAACTTACATTGGGTGTACCTAAATGACGTTTCGGGTTTCCCCCGTCCCTTCCGCATCCTTCTATCTCGATATTTGTTGCTGAGCTTTTGAATACCTTTTATATACCCATGCGTAACACGCCTTGACAAGCTCCTCCCGACATGTACCTACCATAGCTAACGTAAATAGAGTGAATAACCTTATGCTCATGTTATATGTTGCAAATTGAAATAATTAAAACTAAATTGATATATTTCGATATTGCACCGTCATCAGAATTCTTATTCTGATCTACATTATTAATAATGCTCAGAAATACCATAGCTGACCTCCAAGAACCATAGCTAACCTTCAGTTAAGTAAACCATATCGATGCTCAGTCAAAAAAGAAATGTCAAAATTCCTAAATTTGACGCAATTAAAACTGTTTGTGGGTATCGCATATCAGTCGAATACAGGAAAATTATCGGGAATTCGTGCAGTGCGCGTGTGAGGAAAATGAAGAATACCCCGCTGTATATTCACCAAAGTCTTGTGTGCGCAAGTCTTGCTGTGAGCTGCCTCATCAGTCTTTCTTTTTACAATATTCTGCAGACGGTAGCAATGCGCTGCTATTTTCCCGGTGACCTAGTTTCGATGCCAGAATCCCCATTTTTGACCATTTGTCTCCTAGGAGACATGTTCTGTGCAATTCACGTGACGTAGCATGCATGCCAATGCAACTTGTATGTAGTTGCATCGCCATTGACATGCAAGGCTCAAAATGTCAAAATGCCACGCAGCACAAGACATGCTTTTTGTGATAAAGAAATTGAGGGTTCATTGGCCTTTCATTCAGTGAGTTTCGGTTGGCGAACAGGACATAGTTGAATGTACATTTACTTTTAAGCGGTTTGTTCATGGGTGCGTTTTCAGCAATGAACTCGACACGGAATGTCTTGGAACATTGCGTTTTCTCGAGTTGTCTATCTATGCAGTGACAAAAGAACGACAATGGAAAAGACAGCGTACTAACCCTTTGAAAAATTTTCATCGGATCTGACATAATAATATTCGTTCCATACCATTTCTGATCGGCGTAAAGTCTAGTAGGGAATCACGGTTTTATGCGAGTTAGGTTTGCTATTCGCTTACTTATCTGACCAATAGCCCTGCCCCGTATACAAGCAAAAATAAAGACGCATTCAAATTTACCTACACAATATTTTGCAAGATGCCTAAAAAGCCTCCGAACATAGGTACTCTACCCTACGGAGCGGATCTGCGCTTTCCTATTCCTACGTAACCCATCGATAGACCGTCTGCATATCAATGTCTGCATCTGTGCGGCACATCTGATGCCGTGCGTATCATCCACTCCAAAGTAGGATTTCCGGCACCCGAGATGTTTGCCAGCAATCTTCAGTCGCCGAGTCGCCGCACTTTGACGATGTTTGCAGTTTGAAGAGCCGAAAATCAAAGCCCTGCCGACAATTCAGTAACTGTTGAACTCTGAACCGCAGTGCGTTTGGAGTCCTAGGCTGATCATGTTCAAGGTCATCTGCCCCGGCCCTCATGTTGCTAGATTTAGACGTAGTCGTTTGAAATCTATCTCAAGCGCTACATTTGCATTGAGATCATCTGGCCATACTACACGTCCTCAGCTAATTGACCGAAATTGCAAAAAGAAAAAGAATAGGGCCCACTTGTACGCCTGTTTGTAAGTGAGTGGAAACGCACAGCTTGCGTGATGTTCTTATTTTGTTAGGACTTTTTTAACATTATTGGTTCGATTTCTTTGCAAACAATAGCTGTGTCAGATGTGCATTCCCTTGGAGTTATCCCTAACGCGCTGTTCATGTGGTTTCTCAGTTCTGAGTCGGACTTCTTTTCAAAGAGATGCGTCTCGTGATTGACATCAAGCTGTTTGGTCCACGATTGTTTTCAGAGACGCCTGTCACTTGTTACTTCTGTTCAAGCGGGACAATTTAATATCAATTTAACAACCTTTTGTAATGCTGCCGTTTGTTCAGATAAAATGTTGTTATCAAATGCTATTGCTCTGCGAACATTTCTAATTGCGGATCTGTCTTATTGTTAACTTCGCTTATAGTTAATGCTAGCCTTTTTTAATGTTTAAGTATTGCATGGCGTATTTCGTCGTGGTTTCACCATTTCAAACTAGTCTGGGAAATTCATTCACGCAACAGGCAGGTGCAGAAGCTACATCTTCTCAATTCATTTAGTCTTCCAGCGCGATGCGAATAAGTTACCTGAAGCTCTTTGGTCCCTTGACCATTCGCCTCACCATGAAACATGCATGAAGGACATCTGCAATTGAAACTCGATCCACCAAATGTCAACACTCATCCTCTCTCACCTGCCCCCCCCCCCACTCCCCCTGCATCAGCGCGTGCTCAAGGAGGCAGTTTGGCGGCGGGCCGCGCGGACGGCCGTACCGCGTCGATACCCCTGACCGAGCGCTATCCTCCGCCAGCGGCGGCCTCCTCCGCCGCCGCCGGCAGTTCGCCTCCGGCGACCGCCGACGACGGGTCACAGGTCGCGCCGCGTCGACCGCGACGGCCGTCGGTCGCGACGATCCTCCCGTCAGCAGTGGTACAGCTAGTGTTGGTTTCGTCAGTGGTCTCTGAATGGTATTTGAGTGGTCTTTTAGTGGTCTGTGGATGGTCTGACGGTGGCCTACGGTGGTCTCTGCGGGTGTTTTTGAAGTGATCCTGATGAAATACGACTTAGGCTGACTGAAGACTAGACGACTTTGTTGTTCCGTACCGGCCGCGAAATTCGTGGTGTTGCGTTTCACGGGGGTGAGCGAAGAGCGTCTGAGGTTTCGGATTTCGGCGGCGGTGTCGGGCTGAGTCTGGGGAGCGCTCAGACTGGCACGGGATTTCCGAGAGTTGAAGAAGCTCAGAAGCATCACGGAGTTGGCTGCTGATGGACCAAGAGAGGGAGTGTTGAGTGAATATGTGATTGCTGACGCCTCATCAAATACTGATTAGTGTGACAGTGTTCGGCTTCGTCGGACGTTTGAACATCGACAGAGAAGTGATCCGGTGAGGTACGAGCCAGGGGTCGCCGGGGACGTACCAGCTCGGTAAGGGCCACTCTCTTGGTGGTCCGTGGGGTGCACCCATCAGCGACAAACTGCTGTGTGATCAGCAGTGGAATAAATCCGATTTGTGGGTTCCGTGAGTGGAGAAGGTCGTTGAGAAGTACTTTGGTCTCTACTTCTTAAGGTCGAATCCCCTAACGGAATCAGAATACAGAGTCCGAATCGGTAACAAACTTATTCCGATTTGAGCTCGGAATTAGTGACCGTTTGCCGAAGGAGAAGGTGATTTAGTTGGTCGACTGAGACCTCCACGAAGACCTAACAAGACGAAAGTGTTCGTGGGCACCTCCAGTGGAACGAAAACGTGGGAAACGTGGGAAACACCTCGGGCGGTTTCCGAGGTTTCCGTGAAAACTGCGGCCGACCCTGGCTGGGTGCCAGTGGTGTGATTTCTGCGCCAATTCTGTCTGTGGTGCGTGGGTGCTGTCGCGTGTCTGATTCAGTGTGACAGTGAAGGCAGAACGGCAGCGGCATTGACACAGAGGAGCGCCGCCCAAAAAGGTACGTGCTCAAGTGTGAGCGGGCATTTTCGAGTGCTGGACTGAGTATGGGTGGGTGGTCGAAGTCAAGATACCTATAAGAAACAGGTAGATCCGATGTTTGAAAGTAAAGCCCCAGTCACAAATTTAACGCACCTGTGACATTTCCTGACACCCACGTGACTATTGTATTAACTTTTGTGTTTTGCGATGTTTTGACCTTATTTAAAGTACTGAAAGCTCAAAATGTATGATTAATGTTGTTTAAAGCAGC